TCAGGTCTACAATTGCAATCAGGAAATATCAAATATTTGGGAATTACTGTGTCATCTAAACTAGCTGAGTTACAAAAACTCAACCACAACCTTCTTTTAAAAAAAACAGAAGAGGACCTAGAAAGATGGAAATCGCTTCCGATCTCCCTTATGGGTCGTGTAGCATCAATTAAAATGATGGTCTTACCCAGAATTAACTACCTATTTTCAATGATCCCAAATAACCCATCACCCGAATGGTTTAAATCTCTAGATTCTTCCATCTCTAAATTTCTTTGGAAGGACAAACCCCCTCGTATCAGCTTAAAGACACTACAGAAAACTAAAAACAGTGGGGGACTAGATTTAACTAACTTCCAACACTACTACTTAGCAAATAGATTACAATACATCTCTAAATGGATAAAACATAATCCCTTAGATGAGCCTTGGATAGACACAGAACAGGAATTATGCAGTAATATAATAATTTCAGATTTGCCGTTTATTAGCTCTAAGATCAAACAGCACCAAAAAATATTAACATCAGCTCTTCCCTGACAGCATGGTGGGAATTTCTAAAAATATCGAAGTCATCACTTATCCCGTGCAGTCGTACACCCATCTGGAATAACCCTGACATTCTACAAAACAATAATGTGATAAACTTTCCGTACTGGAAGAATAAAGGTATTACATTTCTGGATCATTTGTTTGAAGGTACGGAGTTTATCACATTTGCTAAATTAAATTTGCAATATGGCATTAACAAAAATGAATTCTTAGAATTTGGGCAAATTAAAGCTATAATTAGAAAAAAATTTAAGCATATTGATGGAGGTTTAAATTCCAACTAATATATCAGAGTTTCTAGAGTTAACCCCCCCCCCCAAACTACTGTCTAAATTATACAGGACACTGACTAAACTGGATGATACAATATGTATTCCTATTACTAAATGGGAGGAGGATTTATCAGTCAGTTTTGAACAAAACATCTGGGCTCAGATATGTCTAAGAACTTTTATCATGACTAGAAAACCCAATTTACAATGAATACAATACAAAATCCTCCACAGAGTGTACTATACAGGTCAAAGATTGTTCAAGATGGGGTTTGCACAATCTAACATCTGTCCACAGTGCACAGGCAATCAACTTGATAATTATTTTCACGCGTTATGGTTATGCACGCCGGTTCAGAGGTTCTGGGTACAGGTATGTAAGGATCTATCACTGTGCCTGGGTTGTAAAATCTCACTTTCCCCTTCAGTTTGCTTACTGGGTGACTTTGAGGGAAGCTCTCTGGAAAAAAAATCAGTTTGCATGGTCTTCACTGCATTATGTATCGCAAAGAAAACTATCCTCATGAATTGGAAAAGTAAGGATAACCTCAACATCAATCAGTACAGAGATCTGTTGTTGGATCATATTAATCTTGAGACAGCATCTGCATCCCCATCAGACCAATCTCTCTGGGCTCCCTTGATCGGCTCCATTACTTAGTGTAGTGGGGGGCTGTGGGATGTGTTCTATGGGGCGCGGGGGCTGGTTCGGGGGTCCTTGGGTCCTGGGGGGCTCAGGGGGGCGCTCGGAGTGGGGTGCCTGGCGGGTCTAGCCCTCGGGTCTGTTGTCCCCATCAGGGCGGGGTCTGGGGCGCCTCGGGGGGGTCCTACGGCGACTGTGTGCGGTGCTCTTGGGGGGTTCCGTGGTGGCGGACGTGGGCTACTGGCCTAGTAGCTGTGCTGCTGCTGGGTGGGGCTGGGAGCCAGGCATCAGTTCTTTTGTGCTGCCGGCCGGGGTGCTTCTGTTCTGCGGGGCGTTGGGGCATGCCTTGTATTTCAGTGCCTGGTTTCGGTGGTTGGCCGTGGTGCCTGGCATGGTTGCATTGTCCGGGGGAGTGCGGGGGTTGATCACGCCTGCGGCCGGGGTTCATGTGTGTCTGTTGTGGGCTGGTTGCGGGCTTCAGGGGGGGCCCCTTTGGGATGCCTCCCGGGTCGGGGGTGTTGTTTCGTTTTGATGAGGCGGG